AAGGGTCTTCTCCAGCACCACAGTTCAAAGGCATCAATTCTTCGGTGCTCAGCCTTCTTTAATGAAATGCTGTGTTTTTTTGTTAGGAAATTGGGGCAGGGAGTAAAATAGGCATTTAATTTTTTAATGGAGGCGAAATTTGGCTGTTTTGTTTTCTATTTATTTATACATCACAGTTGTGTAGCCGCCCGTCTCATAAAGCAACTCTGTGCGGCGTACGCAGGCGAGCCCACCACAGAACACCCATGTGAGACCACCTGGCCTCCAGGTGGAATTCAAGGGGCTGGTTGTCACCTCTAAAGCCCTCCACGGCATGGGGCCGGACTATTTGTGGGGCTGTCTCTGCTCAGTTGTTTCTGTCTGTTCCACTAAGTCCAACCAGAGGGACCTTGCAGGTCCCTTCAGTTAAAGGATGTCTCCTCCTGGGATCTTGGAAATGTCTCTTGCAGCACCATAAAGCATTACAGACCTGGATTTGCTCCATGGCTTGGGGGCTGGGAGATTAGATGGCCCACTGCAAGGTTTTGTTGATTGTTTGGGTTTAACTTCAGGGACCGTTGTAAGTTCTTATTTGTTGTTATTATTTTTCATTGTGTTTAAAGTGTGGTTGGCTGCCCAGAGTGACGTTGGTGAGACGGGTGGCCATATAAATCGATTCAATAAATAAATAACAATTTGTTAGAAGCCCCAATGACATCTCAAGTCATGATGTCAGCCCTTCGAGATAGACCAGGCTCGGAAATCAGACACACAAGCTAATACTACTTTACAATTCAGCACCTCCCCCCTCCTTCCCTTTATCTTTGTGAGAACTAGGGAGGGTCAAGTCTAAGATGCTTTCTCAGATTACATTCCTGCTTTGGACTCGTCTCTGACTGTTATCATGGTTGTGGCTCTTCCTCCTGTTCCTCAAGGTTACTCCTACTTCCCGTTACACATGCTCAGATGATGTGGTTTGTGGAATTTGCACCATAAATTGCCTACTTTGCATGATGATGTCCCCTGCATGATGTCACTCGCCCCCGTCCCCCTCCCCACAGTCCCCCCCCCCCCGGTTCTTCGTCAGCAACCCCTGGGCAAGTCAGCCTCTTGTCTCCAGCCATCCACACGCACCAGACTGGCATTGTTAGCAGGCGAGAAATTCGGTTGAAGGGCTTTGCAAGCCTCCTTCCATCATGATTCTTGCTTCATTTCTTAGCCAGGAGTTTCACCATGACCAGATGTGCTGATTCCTCTCCAGAGATCAAACCTGCCATTGTCCAAGTATCTGAGCCGGTTCTCCGCACGGCTCAGTCAAGCCCAATTTTAGAGGGATGCCTGAAAGACCTAGAGGGAGCCAGGAATGCAAACTTGAGCCTTTGCAGCGTGGAAATCAACGAGATCTACACTTGCTACCCAGACCTGGGTGAAGGGACAGAGGGGGACGAAGAGGGGGCAAGAGCAGGGCAGGATCCCAATGCCGGGAGGGCATTGCAGGGTGCCCCAAGGGACACAGCCCAAACCCCGTCCCCTCGAACTGCTGAAATCCAGGAATGCGAGGCGGCCCTGTCCTCGGACGCTGAAACAGAATGCAGTCAGGAGGAGCTGAACGGCGTCTCCGTGATGAACGAGGTGCTCAGGAGTGCCCGCAGCAAAGGTGGGAACATCCAGTCCCAGTTTGAGTACAAATTTGGAAAGTGTGTCCTCGATCTCAAGATTTGCCAGACTCTGCTTCAGCAAGCCACGGACTCCCTCTCCCGGACAGAAGCAAAATTAGGCGCGTTGGAGACCTTGGGCAAACCCCGGCAGTTCTTTTGGGGGACTCAGGCAAGGGAGCAGCCTGCCATTGTGATTCCTGCCAGGGGCTGCCAAGAGAAGCTGGAGACCATCTTGAGAAACATTAAGGCTCCCTTAAACGGAGACCGCGCACTGCAGTGGAAGGCAGTCGCTCCCCCAACGGAGACCTACGTGCCTCCGCCTTTCCGGGTTCCGGGATCATACAGACCACTGGGGATTCACTCTTACCAAGCTGCAGAAAACAGACCCAAAAGTACCAGCCAGAGCCAAGATACCACCTACTGGAGTGATTTTGGACTGGAAGCAGCCAAAAGTCCCATAAATCAAAGAGGAACAGAACTGAACTATCAGGTAAAGTGGGATAGAGAGGGGAGGCTCCTCTTCACTCTGTACAGGCTTTGCTAGCAGCATTAAACTTTCTTGATGGCTGCTTTCGAGGGAAAGGGGAACGTGAGCCTGTTTAGCTTATAGGACCCCTTCATGATATCCAACAATTTTTCGCTGGACTCCTTCAACAGCTTACCAGCCCTGGGCCTCTGAGGAGGAGGCGGGGAGATGCAAACAATGAAATGTGCGTGACAATGTTCTGCAAATGCTGCAAATGGTGTACAGGCAGTCCTTGACTTACAACCATTCATTTAGCGACTGTTCAAAGTTATGGCGGCACTGAAAAAAATGACTGATGACCAGTCCTCGCACTTAAAACTGTCATAGCATCCCCACGATCACTTGATCAAAATTTGGGCGCTTGGCAGCCAGCATGTATTTACAATGGTTGCAGTGTCCCAAGGTCACATGATCACCATTTGCAACCTTCCCAGGGGGCTTCCAACAAGCAAAGTGCAGTGAGATGGGCAATGATAAATTTGAAATATAAATAAATAAATAAATAAGTCAATGAGGGAGGTCAGATTCGCTTACTGACCATGGCAAAAAAAGGTCGTAAAATCAGGCACGACTTGCTTAATGATCGCATCACTTAGCAATGGATGTTCTGGTCCCAATTGTGGTCGTAAGTTGTGGACTACCTGTACTTGTGTCAGGTGTCAGGACGTGAGTATATCCAAGTGGCATTTGTGCCACGATGTCATTGAAGGCACATCATGGTTTTGGAACGATCGTGGTTTGCCTTTGATGCCGCTTCTGCAAATGTGGATTTTTTTTATGGTTCTCTTGTTCAGCCAGTAGCTTATCCCTTCCATAAGGAATGAGTTTAGAAATCCAGTTTGTGATCGTGTGATTCTTTGAGCCTGGACAGGCACCTTGAAACTCTCAAAGGACAACTTTTGGCCCTTCTATCACCAAAACAAGACAGTTGATTTATGTGCTATATAAGATACGACAAGGCCTAGTTGAATGTGGAAGCTGAACACTGGAAGCTATCTTGGTGAAGGGGATGCATTTAGAAAACATCCATCAATCAGAAGAAAATTGGTACGTGAAGCCGGTTTTAGAAATTCTCTAAGCGCTCATCTATCTGTTGAGTGAAAATTTATGAGTTCCTCGAAAATTTGGCATTCTTTGAACACATCTATCATTCAATTAATCAATCATCTAATCTGTATCCCACCGCAATCCCAGGACTTTGGCAGCTCGCAGAGTTAGAACATGCAATCAAATTTAAAAACAGAAACATAGGAACATTAATGCCTTTATTAAAACAGCGATTTGGGTTCATCTGTGAGGACCAGTCCTTGTGTGAGGGACTTCACAGAAGGTCAGCTTGTCCAGGCTCAATAATTAACAAATTGCAGATCGAGAAGGTTGGGAAGGCCTTGGAGTACCTTAAGGTTATACAGACTATATTATGGACTAGAAATTAACTCTATGCATGCAGAAAACAACTGTGTCTTTCCAGTGCCTGGTGGGTTTTGTTGCAATAAACCGGGGTTTCTCAATCTCAGCAACTTTAAGATGTGTGGACTTCAACACCCAGAATTCCCCAGCCAGCATGGCTGGCTGGGGAATTCTGGGTGTTGAAGTCCACACATCTTAAAGTTGCCAAGACTGGGAAACACTGCAATAGACTAACTGGTTATTATTCTGGTTTTCACCTGGGTCCTCTCTTGATGCTGAAGATCCCAAAGGCAGCTCTCGACCCGTCTAATCTCCCAGCGGACTAGGATTGAATCAGAATCCCATCTGATTGGCAGATGGGAAATGTGGCAAATCGTAATCAGAGGCCAGCAGTCTTGAGCAAGATCCTTGACAAGGTCCTCTCCTATCCCTCCTGCTCAGCGTTGCTAATTTCTCCCTGCAGAAATCTCCCTTCCAGAAACTTCCTTAAGATCCTTGTGAGGGAAGGGGGAAAGACACGGATGTATATAGTCACAGGTTTTTTGAGCGGGGGGCGTTGTGCCTTCAAGTCAGCCTTGACTCTTGGCAACTGCCTGGACAGGTCCCTGCAGTTTCCTTGGTAGGACTTCAGAAGGGGTTTGCCATTGCTTCCTTCCTGGGGCTGAGAGAGAGGGACTAGCCCAAGGTCACCCAGCTGGCTTGGTGCGCAAGGCAGGACTAGAACTCACGATCTCCCGGTTTCTAGCCTGGTGTTCTAGTTGCTAACCAGTGAGCCAGTTTGGTGTCTTAACTACCACACCAGATTCGGTCACTGGTTAGCAACTAGGACAAAAATGGTTATCCTGCTCCAAAGATTGCATTGACAGGGTAGAGATGAGTGCATCCGATGGAAATTGCATCACAAAGCAGCCGAGGGTTAATCCAAGCTCCCCTCCCAGGTACAGAAAAGTCATGTGGCCCCTGGCCCAGATTGCCTGCTTACCGATGTGGTTTTTAGCTCTTGCCTCCAGGCGTGTCCTTCAGGAGGAAGAAGAGCCCCCACCTGCGTCGAGGGAGCTCCATGTTGGATGGGATCAAAGCGGCAGATGGGTGAGTGCTGTTCCTCAGTCCCCAGATAGAATTCCTCCAAATGTCTTTATTTTTGTTATTGATGCCGTTCTGGTCATACTCACTGATTCACTTTGCTATGCCGAGGGTGATTTAATTTTTTTTAAATCATTTTTTAAAATCAGTTCTTTTATCTTTTTCATCTTGATCCATTTACTTACGCTGCCTACTCATTCGGTCCTTTCCTACGGCTCTCCCCCAATAGGATTTGTCCGTAGAGCAAATTGACGGATGTTCTCTGTTTTAACTTGCTAAATCCTGTCGGAATAGAAGAGCGATTATGTCCACTGTGTGGGAATCTGGTAGTTTCCTGTGGCTTTTTTTTTTTTCTTTTCTGAAGCCAACCTTGTCTGCAGGGCTGTTGTGAAGATAAAGAGGGAGCAGGAGGAAAACCCTGTAGGGCATGCTGGCTGGGGAATTCTGGGAGTTGAAGTCCACCCATCTTAAAGTTGCTGAGGTTGAAAAACACTGCTGTAGGGTGTTTGGAGGAACTTTAGACAAAAGTGGGGTCTAAATGTAATGCATCCTGTGATCAGTAGAAATGATGGCTGCCTCTTTTGAAGTTACCTGATCTTGCAGGTCCTTGAAAAATACAACTCCTGAAATCTACGAAGTGAATTTGAGAAGTGAAGAGAGGAGAATGGCTCAGTCTGAATGGACAAGTGAGTTCCGGGGTTGCTTTTCTTCCTTGTCTAGTCTTCTGAAATTGGGTGCCCTTCAAGTAAGGTGGGATTACGGCGTCCAGCCTTCTCAGCTCTACGATCAGGGGAACAACCTTGTTGGGTCAGGTAATGTCTATCCTGGCCTAGCATTTGGTTGGGGTCAGCTACATGCCTCTTGGGGGGGGGGTCAGGAAATGGAGATACTCCCTTTCCCCATCCCCTCCATTGTTCCTGCAACAAGGATTTAGCAATGGTGCCCTCAGCCTGGACATAACATGAAGTCTTCAAGATGGGTAGCCCTTGATAGACCTTCTTCCATACATTTATCCGGTCCCCCTTTAAAGCCATCCAAGGTTTGTGGCGGTGAGTTACACAGATTAATGATGGGCTTTTGGCTGGGTCACTCCTGCCCATCAACTGCACTGGATCACAGCTGGTTCTGGTATTTTTTTTTTTAAGTTTTTTATTTTTTACAACAAACACAAACATACATAAACAAACAAGAGCATAAAAAACATGAAAACCATCTTCCATCTTAAACCATGTGTCAGCCAGTTACCAGTCATTTGTGCCATCCTTTCATTTTTTAAGTTTTTTATTTTTTACAACAAACACAAACATACATAAACAAACAAGAGCATAAAAAACATGAAAACCATCTTCCATCTTAAACCATGTGTCAGCCAGTTACCAGTCATTTGTGCCATCCTTTCATAGTCTTCACTCACCATTTATATAGAGTCTCATATTATCTG